AATCCAGACTACCACAGTTGCTTCTCTGGAGTTATGGTGTACCTCCTCGATTCCTTGTCATTATGGAAGATCAGCTGACTGGCAGAAGGCATACACCTAGCAGCAAAGATGCCATGCAGTGCACTTCCTGCATACTTAGCAGTTAGGAAGGTGCTTTGTTTTCCCTGACTCAGAACATCTTGGAGAAACAGGAAAGAACGTGCAGTCAGAAATTTACCAATTCAGATCAGACATGAATGTCCATTTGTACATATTGCAAGTACTGTGAACAAAATTACTGATCCCTAAATGTAGCCATTTGAAGGCTATTGAAATTGCTGGTTTTTCATTAATTTCAATGAATTATTGTAGTGCAGATTATCTGTCAGTGATCTTTGTGGGTTCTCATCTTCCAAATAGAGGGGGGAAAGTAACAGATTTTATATACAAGAGGATGAGGAAATGTTAATTGTCATTTAAGCAAACAAACCAAAACATTCTTCCCGTTGCTTAAATGTAAATATAATATCTTTGTTACCCAGATGCTTAACTTTAGGCATATTTTATTGGACTGGTCAGGAAATGGTAGTATTCCACTTGAATTAATATTGGTTGGTCCTTTTCCTGACTCGTCATTAATGTAATTAGCATGTGTGCGTGCACCTGTGAATTCCATACTTTTTTCCACCAGAGCAATGAAAACATGCTTGTTTCTAGCTGCCCTCTTCTCCACCTTTTTGGTAGCACTTGTAGCAGGGAGTAGCAGCCTGTGGGTTACTGCCTCAGGAATGCAGTACAATCTGTTAGACCTGTTTGGGAGGCTCATATACTGCTTAAAATCAAAATACACATACATATACACCTGAAGGCACATAAAGATCCTCAGCGTTTCAAGGAAGACACTCCCTAACTTTTGTGGCCTCCTCTATACTCCCTCTCTGTACATGTTGCCTGTTTAGTATTGTTAGGAGCATGAGCTAGGGAGATTCCAAGTTCAAATTTAAACTCGCTCATTAAGCTATTCATAACAGGCTACCACCACTATCTTTCAGGCCACTATTTCTTAACTTTATACCCTGCTGAGATCACTCGCCTCCCCAAACCCCACTCTCCCCAGGCTCCGCCCCCAAATTTCCAGGCGCTTCCCAGCACAGAGTTGACAACCCTAGTGTTATGTCCGCTGACCAACACCAGGGGCCAGCAAATATCCCCGAGCTTGACTCTAAAGGAACAATGGGGACTGGGCTCCTAGTCTCTCCTCTTGGGAACCAATGGGACCGTGGCGGGAAATTTAAACCCACCAATGGTGGTCCCCACGTGTGTATATAGTTGGCCAGCCGGCCAGTCTTTATTGTGTACCAGTAAACCATGCTGATCACTACATCAGTCTCAGTGGTTTCTACATGCGTCTAACCCACTACACTTCACCTAGGTAGCAGTTTGTGTAGTGGTCTGGGGCTAAAACCATGTCCTCTATGTTTTCATCACTGAGCAGCTACTGAAGACACCTCAAACCCCCCCCCCCCAAGCCAGGTGGTCCACAATGACTTGCAGTTAAAAGCACGGGTGGTGTACTTTCACCTCAAACCATTGCTGATCACCTGGCAGGCATGATCTTTGCCAGCCAGATATTCAGTGTTTGCTTGAGGCTGAAAGTGTCTCCTGTCTCTTGCATGTGGGCAGATATCAATGGTCCTGTGCTGGGGTTTATAAAGATCTCCTGGATTACTTTTAAACTTTTAGGATTTTTTAGTAGAAGATTCTACCTTAGGACTCTTGATCTGCATGGTGGTTTGTCTGGTCACTATTAGATATTAACAAGGGGTGGACCCGTGATACTCGCGGGGGGGAGGGAGGCATAGGAGGAAGCAGCAGGAGGAGGTAAGTACCCCCCCATCCCGCCGCGTTCCCCCCCTGCCCCC